CGCCCATCTCCGACTACTGCATTCGCAGTCGCATCCGCTACACCTTCCTCTCCAGGACGGAGGAGGTCAGCGAGGAGGACATGCGGAGGACGCTGGTGGCGGTGGGGCCGCTCTACGTGGCCATGAACGCCAATCCAATGGCGCAGCGGAACTACCGTGGGGGCGTGTACGAGGGCGCCGACTGTACGACGGCGGTCAATCATGCGGTGACGCTAGTTGGNGGCGGCTCCAGCTACCTCGCCTTCAGCTACCTAAAACGGAACGGGGTGACCAGCGAGGAGGCGATGCCCTACACCGCCAGCGACGGCTTCTGCATGTCGATGTTTCGAAGCCTTCCCGACGAGGTGCCGCCCATCTCCGACTACTGCATTCGCAGTCGCATCCGCTACACCTTCCTCTCCAGGACGGAGGAGGTCAGCGAGGAGGACATGCGGAGGACGCTGGTGGCGGTGGGGCCGCTCTACGTGGCCATGAACGCCAATCCAATGGCGCAGCGGAACTACCGTGGGGGCGTGTACGAGGGCGCCGACTGTACGACGGCGGTCAATCATGCGGTGACGCTAGTTGGTGAGTGTGTTGATAACATTTTATCATTCGTCTTTTCATATTTCTTCTTTGATAGGTTACACACCGGACGCCTGGATCATCAAGAACAGCTGGGGTCGTGGTAAGTGGTGGTGGTGGTGATAATGGGGTGAAAAGTTTGATCAAGATTTACAGAGTTTTAATCCCTTGCAGATTGGGGCGAGGATGGCTACTTCAAGCTGGCCAGAGGAGCGAATGACAATCGCTGCGGCATTCAGACGGAGATTGCCTGGCCGCTGCTTTGAGTTGTGATTGATTGGTTGGTGAGAGTGATTTTGAGATTTTGTCGTTGTTGTTTTCACTCTTGAGACTTTGTATTATTTCTTGCACTTGCGATACTTTCTTTTCTGAACCTTTGATAAAAAGACTTCATCAAAAAACGCCAGAGTCATCAGCTTGGACTGCCGTCCGCAAAAGAAGAACTCAACAACACCTTTTTGTTTCTTTCAAAATATAAATGCATTTTCAACTCGTAACGAAACTCTCAACGTCGCGTAAAAGATATACAACCACCAGAGCATGAACAGATGAATAGAGGTGTGTGTGTGTGTGTGATACGGAGTAATGAACAGAGTAAGAGAGATAGCATAACAGATGGCAAGGACAGCAAGTCTCAGTGTGTGAGTGAAGAAGAAAATAAGAAGAGACTTGTGGACAAGAAGTGGAAAGAAAGAAAGGTGAAAGAACGGTGAAAATACAAAAACGAGAAAAATGTGTGCAAAAGGTTAAAAACTAAAAAAAGTTGAGGACCACCGCCTTTGTCCTCAAAAATAGACAACTTTGAGTGCGTATGTAAAAACAAAAAGCAAAGAAGGAAAGAAAAAAGCAGAAAAATAAAAACTGAGAATCAGATCTTACTCCTCCATAACCATTTCAGCCAGAGCACTGGTTCGCCTCGCCGCTGGCAGAGGGGGACACTGCGCCTTGAGCACGCCAATGAGGTGGGCGTCGGTGACCCGGCCCCTACCTCCACCGGACCGGCTCAGCACCATCCGCTCCAGCGCCTTGACCATCGCCAGGTACAGTGCACTGTCCTCCTCGTTCCAACAGGCCGCCCAGCGACTCTGCTCGTGGGCGGAGCCGACGCCCGCCGTGACCGTGTCGCGAATGCGGCCCAAGACGCGAATCAGCGACGCCTTGCGGCGGCTGCCGCTAAAGGGCGACTGGAGGGCGACGGCGCTGGTCGCCTGCAGCTCGCGAATGTACACCAGCATCTCATTGACGAGCAGCGAGATGGACACTGGAGCGACGGAGGCGGAAGTGGAGTTTGGAATCAGCTCAGGAGGAGAGTAGAAAGTGGAGTGAGGAAGTGAAAAGGTAGTGGGGTGAAGTACAGCTGCAGATGAAAGAGATGAAGAAGTGGAAACCCTGCTTGCGGAATGACGATGACGGTGGCTTCGAAATGAGGCCGATGATGAAGTGGCTGCTTCTAAGGGTGAGCAGCTGCCGCCAACGACGGAAGCTTTCGCTCCCTTGATAAGTTTGACGTGACTGGGGGTCATCTTTAAGGAGAAGAAGAAGGAGAGATGTGGATAGAAAGGAGAAAGTTCGGTGGGTTGAGAACAGAAGGAGAAGAAGTGATAAGGAGTAAAGAAGAAANGGCCGATGATGAAGTGGCTGCTTCTAAGGGTGAGCAGCTGCCGCCAACGACGGAAGCTTTCGCTCCCTTGATAAGTTTGACGTGACTGGGGGTCATCTTTAAGGAGAAGAAGAAGGAGAGATGTGGATAGAAAGGAGAAAGTTCGGTGGGTTGAGAACAGAAGGAGAAGGAGTGATAAGAAGTGAAGAAGAAGAAGAAGTGGAGAAGGATGAAGGAAGTTGATCAAGGAGAAGGAGAAAGGAGTTTATGAGTGAATGAATGAGTGAATCGAATTAGGATGCCTGAAGACTGAGTATGTCTGGTGGTATTATGTGCTGGTGGTAGTGGTGATATTATGTTATTTGGTGAGTGTGTGTGTTGTGGTGAAGAAGAAGAAGAGGTGTGTGAGAATCTGCAAAGAGATGGAAAGAGATGGAGAGATCAGCAATCGGGATTGGAATTCAGAGAATTCTTTGGCAACGAGGAAATCGACAGCAAGTTTGCAAGCAGGCAGGCTACAGGAGAGGGAACACAGTGCCACTCTGCCGATCCTTTAAATAGCACCACCGGCGGTTCAGACGACAGCATGTGCCGCTGAACGCCGGTGCCTGCACAGAGCAAGTAGCAAGTGGAAAACGTTTGGAAAACGTTAGCCACTCTCATTACTACCCAGCACACACGTTTCTCCAGCACCGCTGTGCTAATGCTTACCATTACCTCACCCTCAGCAGCTAACACTCACTCACCCTCACCCTTAGCAATAGCAATGGAAACAGACGACAAAGCAAAAGCAGCGATGAGCGGGAGATAATTATTATAAGCTGACGGGGAGAAGGAAAGAAAAGGCAACGTGCTCGCCATGCTGCTGCTTAGCGGGAGAGCAAGTATCTGAAGGTCTGCACACACTGAAAACAGTGTGCTACACGTCTCCA